GACGTAGAGAGAGAGAGAGAGAGAAAGAGAGAGAGAGTATGTTTGTTTGATCATTTTTCTATTATTCTACCCCTTTGGATCACATCTATTAGGGGTTATAACTCTGGAAAAGATGTTGAAAACATTAAATAGGAAAGAAAAAGAACAAGGAAAAAAGGCCAACGCGACAACTGAGATTCAACCATCAAATCAAGTCAGAAAACAAAGAGAGAGAATATACCTCCAAGGCCTTCTAGGCTCTTTTTCAGTGCATGATTTGTTATGAACTTCTTGTTGTTAGTGCATATGTTGGGAGTGGTTTGTAAATTATAAAGTTCAAAAGGTTTACAGTGAATTCTCATCCCTCGCTTCTTCTCAAAAGGGTAATTGTTTAGGTATGGATACCAATTAAAAAATTGAGGAAAAAATGTATGAGCAGCTTCCATTACTATCTCATGATAAGTAACTATCATGTGTTTTTTGTGTTTTGAATCTTATAGTGATGAAGGTCAAGTGAGGAAGTCTTTGCATATCGCACCAAATTCAGACAACTCAGGACATTTTTTTAATTTGCGTAAGTTTATTTTGTTGTGATTTCAGTTGTGGATCTTTTAGTCTGAAACTTGCTTGTGTAGATGATACCGAACTACCATTAGAAAAATCTTGCTTGCCTTTGGGTTGGCTGACCCTGGACTTAGCCTGGCCCAGCCTGGACCAGTTTGAAGAGGCCCTGGCCCTATCCTGGCCGGACTGGGCTGCGCTTACTGGCCCCAAATAAAAAAGGGGAAAAAATAAAGAAAAAAGGGCTGGGCTGGGTCAGGCCATATTTTGTGGCCTAGGTCCTTGATTTTCAGGGCAAAACTGACGAAGGGGGGAGGGACCATAACTTTGAACTGTTTACACATGGTTATTGAGTCACTCAAATTTGATATGATGGCTGGGGAAATAGTTGGTTTATCGTATCACATGTAGAATGAGGGGGAGATTGGGCATAATTTTGAACTGTTTACAGCATGAGTTTCAAGTCACATAAATTTGATATGATGGCAATGGAAATATTGGGTTTATTGTATCACATTCAGGATGAGGGGAAATTATTTTCATTGAGATCGTTATTACCTTTTATGGACCGCATTGAACTAATCTGTACCTATCATGCAGAGGTGACCAATGCCATCCAGAAAACCATGGATCGCTTGTCAGTGCCTGTGGCCAAGGCCGAGCTCTCGGTTATGCAATCCGCTTTTAGTGTAAGGCTTTCTAAACCCATTAAGGACATGCCAAACTATGGTTATGGGCATCAAGTATAAACTTCCAATATATGCTCTTTATATAGGGAATCCTTTTCTCATGATGTGAATAAGGTAGTAATAGCTATTGGCACATTCTGTATGTACTAGCTAGATATTGGCATGCCTGTTGCAGAAATGACCAACAAAAATCAAATAAAAACTTTTATTACATTTTTAATGTTGAAATCTATTTTTCAAACCTAAGACATTGATCAACATGCTAACAGTCAACACTTTCAAAAAAAATATATTTTTCAAACCTAGGCAATTTGTAGCTTAGTATACAAAGTGTTATAAATAAGTGTATTTATAGGAAGAGGTTAACAAGTTCAAAATGAGACATTGATCATTATTTAGCTTCTATATTAGTATGGTTGATCTAATTAGCTTAAATTAGCCGACCCCAAATAGATGGCATAAGGCTCGGATGATGATGATGATCAAATTAGCCTAAATAACCATAGTGGCATAGCCCCATACAAAAGCATTATATAGTAATATCGACCCACACCAAGGTAATAAGAGCAGCCTTAATCCCGTCAAGAATTTTTAAATGTTATTACAAACAATGCAAGAGTAAAAACCCTAAAGCTGAAATTACCAGTCCCATTAAAACTCAAATAAAATTCAAAGAAAAAGGAAAAAGAAAAAAGAATCGATATTACCATTTCTTCCTGTAATAACAGTAAAAATACACTGGGGAACAAAAGAAAAGAAAAAGATCCAGTAGTGACACATATTCATCCAATAAAAGTATAAAGCTAAAAAGGCGCATAGCCTTGTCGTTATTACCCTCTTTCTGGTATGTGTAACAATTTGCATATACAAAGAGCAAAGAAAAGAAAAGAAAAGAGAAGAAAAGAAAAGGAAACTAAACTCAATCATAATAAAGTTATCAAATGAAACCAAGTCCAAAGTAATATCTTATTCAAAGAATTCTTGAACATTCTTGAACAAAATCCTAATCCATATACTCACAGAAGTTATGTTGGAACTCAAAAGAAAATTTTCTTTAGAGAAAATTGACTGTAATATAGTAAGTATCAATAGTGGTTACAAACTTCGGACCCAGGAATGGAGGGCAGGCCATACATACAGGATGAATCAGGTTTCAAAAGTTGTGCCACCTATGGTTCAATAATTACAAAAGTTTTGTTCAATGCTCCTCCTTTTGCTAGACCATCTGCCCTTGAATTTACTTCTAACCAAATGTGCATGTAGGAAACTACGAAAGAGCTTGTGATGCTCCAAATCTGCTGAAAAATGGGTTCTAAAATGCACGAACAAGGAGAGACTTTCAAGGCCCATCTGATAACGTTTTTGGAATTCCCCTCAGCTTTGAGGGCATTACACTAACTACGATAAAAGAGTTTAATACCAGCAAGCATGGCATGATATTCAGCCTTTGTGGTGTTGGCTGTCCTGATGGGGCCTTGGAGTGATAGGAGTGAATTTGACATATGGTCAGGAAAAATGTGTTTTGAGCCCTGCAAGACCTGGGTTACTGAGAGAGCTCACGTCAAAATTAAGCTTGGCTGTGCTTTCCACTGGTGGCAGTCACACCCCAGACCTGTTAATGATGATTGGTCTAGCTCAGATAATATTTGGACAATTGCTGTATGAAATCAACCGAGGACCAAAAATTGAAGCCAGGCCGGTTTCTTGCCCAAGAGATGACCATAATCGCGATGTGGCTTTTGACACCATCTAGACGAGATTGTTTTCTATCAAATATTCTTGTATTCCTTTTGAGCCATATATTCCGAAGCAGCGCACACACTGAGGCGCTCCATAAAAATAGGCCAGCATTTGGGAGTGGTGGACTGTTATAGGCTGCAAAAAGTTGCTGTCAGTGATAGGGGAGCCAGCTGTGTTCAGCGAAATCATATGGAGACCCAAATGAAGTAGGTAAATGACAGCGTATGAGGAGGTAATATAAATGATGAGGCATGGCAAGAAAATTCATGCTTCGACTTATTCTCCTTTGGTAACATAAATGATGAGGCATGGAGAAACTTTGGGACACTTCCAAAACAAATATCTCTCAAGATCAGTATATAGTACCTTAAAAGGATAGAACTTTGAAAATGGGACATAGTATGCAATTTTAGAAATGCCATTTGAATCATTCATAAATATTGCTCCTTACAAATTAATTTCCGTTATTAATTCAAATGAGTGGACATTGTAATGGGTTGAATTTTCTAATATAGTGCACTTGTATAACATAGTTGAAATCAAGGTCTCAGACATACGAAGAAAAGAGGAATACACAACTCTAATGCTTGCCATGACACTTGAATGCTTTCTTCCTTAAAATTTTGTTTATCAACATCCAATCAAAGTACGGAAGGTGATGTAAATAGTGGATAGCATGATCGAAGCGGTTGTCTCTTCTGTCCATCACCATCTTGCCTATTTCATGCTATTTGTTAGTGACAGTTTGAACACTTCAAAGGATTAGAAAAGATCATCATCATCATCATCCAGGCTTTATCCCAATTATTTCGTGTCGACTTTCATGACAAGATGTGACAAAGTTTACGACTTTATGCTGGCTGACTACCTAACGCAACCCACTCTTTACCTTGGCTTGGGATGGGTTAAG